GTTCTATGGGGGAAACTGAGGCCAGCAAAGAAAGGTGGGATCTCCTCCTCCCTGTCACAAGGCTGCCCTTCCCCACATGCTCTGCAGTTGACCCATCACACTGAAATATTGTCACATATATGTAACTTACCATAAATACCAGTAACTGTAAGTGACAGCTTTTGGTGACATCCCTAACACTCTCGCTCCTTCCTCTCTACACTGTCTTCCTCTCCTCTAAACTACCCACACACACGCTCCCTCATTACCACCTCAGGCCACCTCACTCAATAAAGACCTGCCCTCGCCCACCTCCCTAAGACCACTTTTCAGTTCTCTGAGCCCTGTGCCCAGATCTCTTCAACATCCCTGTCCCTGCTACTGATCTTCACGGCCCAGCTCCAGCAGGCCCTCCCCGACGGCTCTCAGATCCCCGGTCAGACACGGCGCACCCCACAACACCTGTTTGTACTCAAGACTCTTATCTCATCCTGCTTTGCCTTAAAGCCGGGAGATTCTGTATCCTGATCTTCAAACTGGGAAACGGTCTGATCAGCACTCATGGGCCCCCTAGGACAGAATGCTTGTTCACTGAAAGCTGGACTTTGCATCAAATTTTGGAATATAAGGTACCGTAAGCAACCTGCCTTACAGTGAGTAAGCAATGATTTAAGGACTTGTCCTATCTCTTTTAGAAGCAGGACCATGTTTATTATAACAGCCACAGTTGGTAGCATGGGGCCTACGATGCAACAGTCACTCAGTTAATGTTTGTTGAATGTCGAGTATTAATTGGTGACATGAGGGCACATTGGGCTTCTCAAGGCCCCTGCAATCCACTCCCAGAGCTTCTGTCGCTCTTCCTCTCAGAGACATTGGTGCTGGTTGAACTGATATTCCCCACAGCATGCAGCAGGCCATCTGCTCAATTCTGGAGTTTCTAACACATGGCGCAATGGGCCGAACAGACTGGGAGTCCAGAGAACCTGGGGTAGTACCAGTCCTGCCACTGAACAGCTGTGGGGCCCTGAGCAAATCTCTTTACTGAAGCAGATGGACCAAGGACAGGCCCACTGGCCAAATAATGTTCCATCTTGTGACTGCTGATCTTTGGAAGTGGTTGTTGAACTGAACTGACCATTAGAGTCGATCACAGTTGTGGGGCTAACCAGATGTGGGGACCAAAGCCACGCGCAAAGCCTGGGAAAGGGAGGATGTCAGCCCAGGAAGGGGCAAGAGCGGGGGAAGGGATGTGTCGGTCACACCAAGGCCCATCAGCCCATCAGCTCAGGCTGAGCAACACACACGCGCAATTAACTAGACAGAAAAAGAGGGAGATGACCTATGAAGGGAATAATGATACTGGCTTTTGGATTTATCCCACCAAAGCCTTAAACACAAAGGCCACAGGAGTGGTTGTCATGTGAAGTTCAGCCGGCAACCTCTGGAATGGGAGTGCTGTCTGTACGCGTGTCAAACCTGATGATGCAGTCAATCTAATAGCCTCCTTAATTGGTGTCTCTGGGGAGCTGAGGGCAAGCAGATCAATCAGAGTGAACGAGGGGAGGGGCAGCCTGGAGACCAGATGGGCGAGGCAGGAGCATAAGGCCGCTATCCCTGGCACATGGGAAAGTGGCCAGAGGTGGCCCCGAGTCTCCCCCAGCCCCGGGTTTTCAGCTTGCACCCACCTTGCCTGGGACCTCCAACCCTCATTCCTCCTTTCTCATTACACTTTATTCCTCAGGAAAATGTCTAGTAAATCCAGGCACGCTGACCTACAAAATGCTTGAATTGTTTGCATATCTTATCCCCAGGGAGCATTTTGGTTGCTTAAGATAAAGGAATACAGGCTGTTAGGATATTTTCAGAAAAACCAGTGAACCTTTGAGAGAAGCAACCACCTTTGGCTTTGGGGGGATGGGTGGGGCCCTGCCTACCAGGCCCTGAACTCACCCGTGTAGATAATATAGCCCCAAATTGAACAACCAATCTCACACTGACAGTAGCCTGCTTGGCCTTTGGGTTTAAGAACTTACATGCAAATATGCATAACCCATGGACACAGACAATAGTGCGGTGAAGGCCTGGGGCAGGGAGTGGGGGGGGGGAATGAAGGGGGTCAATGGGGGGAATAAGGGAGGACACCTGTAATACTTTCAACAATAAAGATAAATTAAAAATAAAACAGTATCTGAACAGCAAACAATAATAAGGGGGAAAGAAAGGAAAAAGAGAGGGAGGAAGAAAGCATCATTCCAAAGAATGAGAAGAAGAGCAGAACTCTTTGTGGGGGGAAGATAATGAACCAACATAGGCCCTGCTCCTAGATGTTTTCTGGCAAGACTTTAGAATGATAAATATGAAGAGACAATTCTGCAAGCCTCCTGGCTTGGGGGTAGGAGGTGGAGAACCCCACACAACAGCTTTTCCAAAAAGAAACAAAAGTCTGCTTGGCCTCAATGTCAGATGTCAGAAGGCAATGGAACAAGATTTATGACATTTCAGAGGACAAAACTGTCCTCACACTTTGCCAAGCTGCCCTTGCCTTGAGCATGAAGATAATGAGCGGCCCTGCTCTGCGGTGTGAACCTGCCTCCTTCATGAAGCTTCGTGAGCTCACCGGTGAGTGGCCCATGCGACCATGAAGGAACCCAACCTCATGAAGTGCAGCTGCAACAACGGTGTCAAGGTCACACCTGGACTTCAGGTGCACTTTGCTGCTCCTTTCACTAACCCTCCGGAGGGTGAAGGAACTGGGCTTCCAGGTACTGCTCTGAGCCCCATCCTGACTGAGGTCACAAAACACACCTGCCTCCTCTCCTGCCTCTGCCCAGCGGGACAAAAACCTCCCTGAAGACACACCTCCGTCTGTGCATTGGCTGTTTGGGGTCTAGACTCCTGCCCCATTTCTTCTCTCATCCAACCAGCATTTGGCCTCCTGGCACCCTGTACAGCACCAGGATGGCTGCTCTAAGGGCCAGAAAAGCCCTCTCTTTTCCAAAGGAAACTTGGCCATTCTTTGCTTCACTAATTCAGCACCCTGCCCCGTACCAAGGGCTAGTTATGGAGAGAAGTGTAGCAGACACTCTAGGGCAGTGATGGCGAACCTTTTGAGCTCGGCGTGTCAGCATTTTGAAAAACCCTAACTTAACTCTGGTGCCACGTCACATATAGAAATTTTTTGATATTTGCAACCATAGTAAAACAAAGATTTATATTTTTGATATTTATTGTATATATTTAAATGCCATTTAACAAAGAAAAATCAACCAAAAAAATGAGTTTGCGTGTCACCTCTGACACGCGTGACATAGGTTCACCATCACTGCTCTAGGATGTTCACTCACCACCCATGCCAATAACCTTCTTCATAGCCTATTTCTACTATGAAGACTGGAAAGCTAGGCCCTTGATGTCCCAGTTTCCATGCAGCCATTTCATATTTCTGGCCAATAAAATGCAGGCAGAAGTTCCAAGGCGAGTGTTACTTCTCTCACAATAAGGAAAGGCTTGCCAGAAAAAAAAAAGTCTTTTTCCCCTTTCGTCTCCCCTTCTCTTCCTGCCTGGAACACAGATAAGATGGCTAGAGGTTCTGCAGCCATCATGTGATCATGAGGCACCACCTTGGAGGATGAGAGCCACAGTGCTGAGAATGGTGATGCAGCTGCACCGGCCCTGAGCTGGCCACATCTGGTTTCCTGTGAGATGAGAAAAAGAAGCCCCTAATTGTTTAACTCTGCACTTCAATTATCTAATACTTGCAGCCAAATACCTTCCTAACTGATAAAAGAAGACAAATGAAGTAACAACAAAATTTCACTATCAGACAGCTTCATTTTCTATAGTCAAGTTGTTATAAATCTGAGCATTTTCTGTTTCAAGAAATAAGACCTTTTTCAAGACTATATTATACATGAACCTTTTCCTATAATCTGTGATGAGCTGAAATATATTGATGCCTTGTGACTAAGAGAACTATATGCAAAGGGCTGGTAGCCCATTTTCTAAATAACCTCCAACTTCCATCAATTGCTAATATTCTTTTGGCTGTTTCTATCTTCTATGACTCCCATTACAATTCTCAACAGTCCTCTCTATTATAGTGCCTCTTTCTGCCTCTAATTTTTTGCTATAGGTTTAAATGCATGTAGCAATTTTGTTAGAAAGGGTTATAAGTAAGCATTAGGCTGGGATGAGAGTCCAAGGGGGTCTTGCCATCAAAATGAAGGTAGAGCAAGGCATGAGCTTTCCTTACAAACTTTGGACCAGATATGTTTTAGCTTCTCAGAAGCCTTGTTGTCATCTTCTTGATTTGTAACTTTGTCCTGGGTGAGTGAAATTACGAAGGACCTGAGAGTCAGATATTTGAGGTATAAAGCAAAATGAGCCCAAAATAAGTCACAAGATTAGGGTCAAATGAACGCTCGGAGTAGGCAGGGTTATAAACATTCATGGGAGGGAGAGATTCTGGTGGGCCAGAGTTAGGGGAAGCTTCCTGGCAGAGCCCTGAAGGGTGAACCGGGCTCTCTAGGAAAGTGATAACATGGGCAAAGTCTTGGAGGTATGAGGAGGGCAGCATGGTTGGCCTGCGGGCTCAGGCAGAAGAGTAGAGGCAGATAGATCGTGAGAGGAAAGTTAGGGCTGAAATGTAACTCCCTGAAGAGCCAGAATCCTCCTCCCAGGGCACAAGGACCAGAGACAGGCGCTGAACCCACCTTGGACAGGAACCAACCTGCAGACGCCCCCTTGTTGTTGTGGCCAACAGTGATCTTCATCAGCTGCCCCAGATCAGGGGCATCCAGTGTGAACTTGTCTTCAGCTCCCTTTTCAAAGTTGTTCTTTTCACTCTCCAGCCTCCGTTCCCCTGCGCGCACGACATGCAAGAAAATTACAGTGAAGACCAGAGGAGGAGAGGGAACCAACTCCAATACCTAATGGTCTACCCACTGAAGGATGGTCTCCAAGGTCAACTAGGGGAGGAGGTTTTGTAGCGGGTGACAGGTGGTATGTGGGCATTTTCTGTACTTCCACTCAATTTTGCTATGAACCTAAAAGTGCTATAAAAATAAAGTTAAGCCTGGTGGGTGTTGCTCAGTGGTTAAGGTCCATCTCTGAACCAAGAGGTCATGGTTTGGTTTGACTCTATTCCCAGGCAGGGCACATGCCCGGGTTACAGGCTTGATCCCCAGTAAGGGCCTTGCAGGAGGCAGCCAATCAATGATTCTCTCTCACCACTGATGTTTCTATCTCTCTCCCTCTTCCTTCCTCCCTGAAATCAATAAAAATATTTTTTTTAAATAAAATAAAGTTAA